GATTCACAGGGGGCTTGGGGTACTGCATGGATCCGCGGGAGGGTTCCGTGGTTACACAGGGGGTTTCTATGGRTTTGCAGGAGTGTTCGGGAGGTTCTGTGAACATACCCTGTGGATCCACAGGAGAAGTTCTGTGGATCCGCAGTGAGCTTGAAGGGTTCCCTGGATCTGTAAGGGATTTCTCTGGGTTTGTAGGGGACTCGAGAGGTTCTGTGGTATCAGAGGGGCGGGAGGGTTGGGCGATTGGGTGTTTGAGGAATTCTATGGATCCTTGGGAGGTTCTGTGCATCCACAAGTGGACTTGAGGGGATTCCATGGGGGACTGTGGCATTCCCGGAGGTTCCAGAGCTGGAGATAAGGGCCCCGATCCCTCAGCGTTAACATGGAAACATCGTTGGATTATGCAACCCCTGCTGCCGCCAAGAATTGTGCTTGGGGATGTCTGGGAATGTGCGACAGGAGATAAGAAGTTACTGTTTGAAGGGGTTTTATCCTGTTTGAAGCAAGGAAAAAAAAAAAAAGTAGTTTGCCTGCTGTGAGGGATTCCGCATGTCAGAGTTGGGGAGGATTTTTATCACGGGAATGTGCTTCCAGCAARGAGCTTTGGTGGAGAGAAGGGATGCAGATGTCACAGGGATTGTCTGAGTCCCTGGGAGCCCCAGTTCTGGRGGGAGGGTGRGGAGAGAATCCTCGGAATTCCCTCCTCAGGAGGGAGGAGYCCAGGAGCCTTCAWTCCCTGYRTGGAGTGTTATGAGCTCTCATGAGGAGCYRGGGGCAGCTGGGCTTGGGGGACCTCCTGTGTTCCCTCTGCAAACCCCGTGGAGGGTTGGTGAAAATCGGGACAAACCTTGGCATTTCCATGGCGAGACYTTTCTTCCTTCTTTTTAGTCAACCCCCCTGTAAAGATGTATCAGGCAGGCAGCTCCAAGCAGGAAAACCTGGTGTAGTAGTGGGAAAATTCACAGCTGGCCGATAAAAGCCCTCAGTGGGAACAGCCAGTGCTTTTCCCAAAGCTGTCTTTTATTCTTAGAGCAAGGAAATATCCCCAAATCCCCCTTTCCTTCCCATAAATCTTCCTTTCAACCCCTCAAATCCTCCTTTGAGGAAGGCAGTTTTACAGAGTGATGTTTTCTCTTGATAAAAGTAATTCCTGGTGCTTCACCGTTTCTCCAAATCATCCCTGAAGACCCTCCTGTTKCTACTGCCAGGACACAGAGTGGGTTTGCCAGGTCCTGCCATTCCCAGAGCCAGATCCCCCATGGCCTCACCCGGCATCCTCTGCTTGTTTTAATCACCTCGGGATTAATTAATGCCCTCTCCTGACTAATTTTTTTTTCCAATGTTTGAGCTGTGTTAACTCCCASCTKGYTGGGATGRGACRGGACACAGATCTTGGATGTTCCCAGGTTGACCAGCATCTTGTTTTAGGGATTAATGTGYTCCACTTGYTCTTCTGGGRTCTCTGGGTCCTTTCAGCTCCTTCACCATGAGTCAAAATTCCTCCTTTTTAGAGGAGATGGGGATTGTGGGATCAATATGTGCTATAAAAACAGGGATTATGACTCTCCAGGGTGTTTCAGGCTCTGCTCTCTCTCTGCTGTTGCTTCTTGTCTCTCTTTGGGCTGAAAAACTTGGTTTGGGGGATTATTACTCCTGGTTTTTTTGTGGTTATTATTTTTTTTTTTTTACCTGGAGCAGATTTTGTGTTGCTGATGTGCTTCACATGAAGGGTGCAGCTCCCTGTGCCTTCCTTAGGAATGGCTCTCATTAGTGATTCATTACGTCATGGGGTCTTCCCATATCCCTGGAATCCATGAATTTCCTGACAGCGGATGGGAGAGCCCAGCAAACCCGTGCTTGGCTCTTCCTTGTTACTCAGCAACTCCCAAAGGCTTGGCTTTGGCATTTCCACCACTTCCAACATGATTTTCATTAAATCCACAATTTCTGGGGCTCCCACATACTGTGAAGTAGGAAGGGACTTATCTCTGAATCCCACAGGATTCACATTCCCACGTACAGGAGCAATGTTCTGCCTAGTGTCCAGTGTCACAATTTGGAGAAATCGAAGCTGAAATCAAACTGGCCTCACAAGTGCTGAAAAACARTGCCTGACAACRGGATTTTGGGCTGGTTTTCTCCCATTTGKCRTTTTCTGGAAARTACTGGGAATAGTGGCAGCAGGAATAAGACRCYTGSATGAGGGARCAGCTGCTGCATGCTGAAAATCTCCCTTGTCCTCTTGAATCTGGGTTTGAGAGGCCCTGAGTTGCCAGGGAGCTGCCAGATTATCCTGTAGCAGATCCCTCTGTCTTAGAATTAACGAGATTGTTTGGAATCAGGGATTAATTAGATTAATTAACAGGCCCCTTTCTCCCCCAGGCTGGCGGCAAGGCGGGCAAGGACAGCGGCAAGGCCAAGGCCAAGGCCGTGTCGCGCTCCCAGAGAGCCGGGCTACAGGTATGGCTCATGGAATCAACAGAAAACAGGAATTTCTGGCAGGTGGGGGGCCCAAAACCCTCTTGTTTTGGGTGAAAATYGAATATTGTGGAATTTGGAGGCTTATGGAGTGTGGAGGGCTCACAAAGGGGGTTTGCAGTCAGGTGGGACAGAGAGGATGGGAAGATTAATTGGGAGAATCAATGATTGTCATTATATATTCTGCTTAATAATTATAATAACTTAAAATGCAATTATTTTATGCTATACAAAGTGCAATTATGTCATTACTTTATAAGAGCAATATATATAATATATTTATATATAATAACATAATGTATTCTTATGAAATATATTAATTTTATATATYAATAATAAATCGGATCATTATAATTAACATATCTTCTGTTTAGAGAAGATTGTGTTGAGTTGCTCCTGGAAGCTGCAGCCAGGCARGGTGGGGAATCTTTTGGGCCCAAGTCAGCAGTATAGGGTATAACTATGCATATTGGGGCGGGGCTATGGGTGTTAATGAGGTTTTTAATTGCCCCCCCAGTTCCCAGTCGGCCGCATCCAYAGGCATCTGAAGACTCGGACTACCAGCCACGGGCGTGTGGGAGCCACGGCAGCCGTGTACAGTGCAGCCATCCTTGAGTACCTGACCGCTGAGGTAGGACCCCCCTCCCCAGACCCTGCACCCCTKCCCATGGCATTCCCACCTCTTGCTGGTGTCCTGCAGGTGCTGGAGCTGGCCGGGAAYGCTTCCAAGGATCTCAAAGTCAAGCGGATCACACCCCGGCACCTGCAGCTGGCCATCCGCGGTGATGAGGAGTTGGACTCCCTGATCAAAGCCACCATTGCTGGTGGAGGTGGGCATCATTCCCACGTTTCCATCCTTGATTGGGGATTTTAGCAAGAAGAAGGGGAAATACGGGAAAATGAAATGGAATTTGGCAGTTGGCATAAATGCATGGGCTTGCTGCTTCCCTAGATTCACACTGAAGGGATCCAGTCAGCCAGCATTCATACTGGATTTTCACAAAATGGGGAATTGAGGATTTTTTGGAGTGTCTTGGGAATTCTGCAAGTGGCTTGACAGGAATTCTTCCCTCCTCTCCACAGGTGTCATTCCCCACATCCACAAGTCCCTGATTGGGAAGAAGGGACAACAGAAAACAGCGTAGAGGGAGCGTGGCGCCGGATCCCCCCGTCATCGTACTGTACCTGGGCACAGGAACATCTCGGGGAAAGGAGGAGTTTTTTTTAAGGAATAGTTCAAAGGAAGAGCATAGAGGATTGACTGTAGAGGAAACATTGGGATGGGTTTAGATTCTGAGTAGGACACACCGCGGGCCGTGGGGTGGCAGCTGGGGGTGGGTGAGGGGCTCAGCTGCCCCCACGTTTTATACAAAAATGGAACCCATAAACCATTTTTTACAAAAAAAAAAAAAAACCCTCTCCTGTGGTAGCGGGGAGTGGGAGGGGTCGGGAATGTTTGCAACATCCCCGGACCCTGGCAGCGGGTGGAGTGGCCTGGTGCAAGCAACTTGCAAATAAGTCTGAATGCAAAAACACGGTGAAATGACAAACACCGCCCACTATGCAAATAACGGGGGGTGGGTCGTGTCCAAGGCTCCGCCTCCCGGGCGCACATGGCCGGGTGTGTCCCTCTGTCCTTGCCTGGACACAGGAATGTGTCTGTCCATCTGTCCATTGTGTGGGGGTATCTGTGTGTCCATCTGTCCCAGGGCTGGGGGTGCCAGTGGGCACGGAGTCTGGGTGTCCATCAGATGTGGCTGTGTGGGTGCTAGATGTCTGTACTGGGCATCTGCAGATGTCAGGGTCTGCCAGTCCTGGGTGTCACTCTCTCTTGAGCACATGTCCTTGTCCACCTCCTGCCTACCCGTTCCTGTACGAGCCCTGGGGAGCCCCATATGCAGCCAGCTGTGGGGGTGCCCGAGCCGGGACCAGAGGTGGTGGCGGGAGGAGCCGCAGCCGGGGCGACTTCTGCACTGGTAACACCGGGCTCTGGTTGCATCAGGCGTCAAGTGGCCCTAACGGCCTAGGGCAYCATCACCGCCGTGCCCGGGTTTAGAGCCGCCCCGCCGGACCGCAGCGCCTGGGCAGCCGCGGGATCGGTCGTGACCAGAGTCTGCGGCCAGGGCGGGGTCGGGCCGGGGTCGCTGCAGGCGGGCCCGAGGCCGCACAATGGCGACGCTGCCGTGCGCAAGATGGCGGCGGGGGGGCGGGGTCGTCCTCGCTGCCCGCCGGCCGTGCACTGCGCATGCGTGCCCCGKMCCGTCGCCAGGCGCACGCGCRCGSCGCCGCGCGCCYGGAGGTKCAGGGCCGCGCCGGAGGCACCATGCGGCCTCCACGGGAGAGTACGGCGGGGAGCATTGGTGCCCGCCTGCAGCACCACGCTCTGCGGAATAGAGGAGACTGTCTGACCGGCAGTTGAATACCAGTCATTGCTCCGCTGGCATCGGAATGCTCAGGGCTTCCCCAGCGGTTGAGCCCACTCTGCAGGTTACGTAACGYGCTCCCCCTGCCCGACTGCAGTGGTTCTGTCCCCTCTCCTCCGCGGGTCGTATTTCGCTCGCCATTGGCTGGGTGCGGCAGYGGGGCGTGGCGAGGAGGCTATAACTAGAGGTGGTGCGGCAGGGGCCGCGTTCAGTCTACTGCGGCGGTGTTTGGGTTCTGTTGCTGTCGTGCTTTCCCCTGCTGCCTATCGCCGCCCATCGCGCCGCCATGAACGGGCAACTGAACGGTTTCCACGAGGTGTTCATCGAGGGGGGCACGTTCCTCTTCACCTCCGAATCCGTGGGCGAGGGGCACCCAGGTGCGGGCCGCRCGGGGCTGGGCGGGGCGGCTATTGCGCAGGCGCGACCGGGCGGGGGGGAGGATGAGGATGGTGAGGATGAAGATAAGGGTGAGGATGAGGATGGAGGGAGTGAAGGTGGGCCGGGGGCGTGGGGGGTTGGGGGCGGTGACGCGGGCGGGCGCGCGCGCAGTGTGAGGCGGGCGCGCGCTCGCCGCATTGCGGGCCCGGCGCGCACGTGCTGCCCGCGTGGGGCGGGACACGGGGGTGACGATGGAGCGGGGGGGGCCCGGTACCGTTGTGACTCAGCCGTGACTAAGCAACTCCCGGTGCCCCCGCACCCCGTGGGACCCCCGCTGGGGGCTCCCCCCTCGCCTGGATGCCGGGGATAAGACAGGCCTGGTGACCCTCACACACCTACCCCGGCGCGGGGTGTCGCCCTTAGTCCACCCTACGCCCCCTGAGGGTGTCTCCGGTGTCGCCCGGGCGGAGATGTAGCGTCGTGGGTCTCCCCAGATGTGTCCTCCCGCCGCAGCTGGGGGGTTATACTGCTCTCGGCGAGTGGTTGGAGTCACCCCAGTTCGGTATTAGCCGGTGCCGGTCTACCCCAGTCTTTGTCCTCGCTGATTTGGGGCACATGACCGTTAATCTGCGGAGGCAGCTGCCAACGCCCAGCACCCGCTGCCTGGGCACACCCAGCACCCTGGAACCCCCTCAGCTCCGGACACTCCAGCACCCAGGATCAGGGCACCCCCAGTACGTGCTGAGTTCCCCTCAGCTCCGGGTTCCCCTTGGACTCCCAACACCCCACAGCTCCAGTCGTTCTGGCTCCAGCACGCACAGCCTGATGGCACAACATGTGGCTGCTCTGGGGYTCTCCCTACACTGCCTGAGGGAGGAGGATGTGAGGTCCATTTCCTCACTCCTTTACCCCAAAAAGCATCCAGGGGACCCTCTTCCCCTTACCTCAGCTGGGCGCTACCTTGTCCTCACCCAGATACTTTCTGGAAGGTCGCTGCCAAGGACACCCGCAGTCCTGGTGACACGGGTGGCCGTTGGGACACCCCTGGGACACCCTGAATACCCCCCACCCTAACAAAACACCTCAGAAGCAGGAGGAAGCTGGGTGTCTGGTGGGGTATGGCTGGAACAGCTTTGGCTGGGGGCAGAGCTGCTGAAAGCTGGCATGCTGCGGATTTGGGAAGCTGAGACACRGGTCTGATCCCCTTGATGGTGCCACAGGGCTTAGCCTTGGTTGAAGCTGGAGCGTAACTGGGACATGCCTCAAATTCCAGACTGGGGACAAGGCGAGGGCTGTGTACACCCTGGGGGCGCTCCTGGATTATGGGGCTCCRATCCCTCTGCCAGAGGCTCCGGAAGGAAGGGCTGTGCCGTGCCGTGCTGGGCTGTCCCACGCCACTGTGACGCCTTCTGCTCTCTATGTTCCCAGATAAAATCTGYGACCAGATCAGTGATGCTGTCCTGGACGCCCACCTCAAGCAGGACCCAGATGCYAAGGTGGCCTGTGGTGAGTAAGGGCACAAGGAGACAATGGGTGAGTGACGTGGAGATGACACCATGCTGATGTCACGCTTTCTCCTGCAGAGACAGTGGCCAAAACCGGGATGATCCTGCTGGCGGGGGAGATCACCTCACGGGCCAACGTGGATTACCAGAAGGTGGTCCGGGACACCATCCGACACATCGGCTACGATGACTCCTCCAAAGGTGTGTCCCGGGGKGCCACCACCTCAGTGACAGCACAAGGGTGGCACTGGGCTCACCACAGCTCCCTTTCCCCCCTCAGGCTTTGACTACAAGACGTGCAATGTGCTGGTGGCCCTGGAGCAGCAGTCCCCGGACATCGCCCAGGGCGTGCACCTGGACCGCAGTGAGGAGGACATTGGTGCTGGTGACCAGGTGAGACCTGGGGCTGCGGGGCTGCTGTGGTGTGACCGAGCGTTGGATGTGATCGAGGGTTGGGTGTGACACCCCTGTCCCTGTGCCGCAGGGGCTGATGTTCGGCTACGCCACAGACGAGACGGAGGAGTGCATGCCCCTCACCATCGTCCTGGCGCACAAGCTCAATGCCAAGCTGGCTGAGCTGCGCCGCARCGGAGCCCTGCCCTGGCTGCGTCCCGACTCCAAGACACAGGTGAGGTGCTGGCAGGTCCCCAGAGGCCTCAAGAGCTCCTTGTTTTCCCTTGGCTGCCTTCTGACTGGTGTCCCCTGGCAGGTGACGGTGCAGTACATGCAGGACCGCGGGGCAGTGATCCCCATCCGGGTGCACACCATCGTGATCTCGGTGCAGCACGATGAGGACGTGTGTCTGGATGAGATGCGCGAYGCACTCAAGGAGAAGGTCATCAAGGCTGTGGTGCCCCCCAAGTACCTGGATGATGACACCATCTACCACCTGCAGCCCAGCGGCCGCTTCGTCATCGGTGGGCCCCAGGTGCGGCTGAGGGCACTGTGGTGACAAATGTGACACTGTAGTGGTGGTGATGGCAGTTGTGATGGAACGGTGATGGTGGCAGCCGTGATGGTGCAGTGATGATGGCTGAGGGGTGGTGACAACACGGTGACAGTGCTGACGTGGTGACAGCGTGACGGTGGCATAGTGGTGGCAGTTACAATGGTGTGATTGTGGTGGTGATGGCACGGTGGTGACAGTATGGTGGATGTGTTTATATGGTGGTGACAATGGCACAGTGGTGACAGATGGTGYGGTTATGGTGGCAGTGATAAAGCAACAGTGGTTACAGCATGGTGTGGCAGCAGTGATGGCTCCGTGATGGTGGCACTGGTGACAATACGGACACGGTCGTGACGCTGCTGTCCCCAACAGGGTGACGCRGGGCTGACGGGCCGCAAGATCATCGTGGACACGTACGGGGGCTGGGGCGCGCACGGAGGCGGCGCCTTCTCGGGCAAGGACTACACCAAGGTGGATCGCTCGGCCGCCTACGCTGCGCGCTGGGTGGCCAAGTCCCTGGTCAAGGCTGGGCTGTGCCGCAGGGTGCTGGTCCAGGTGGGTGCTGCTCTGGGACGAGGCTGCTCCGGGTGGGTGCTGGGGCTCCCCTCCCCAGACTCCAGAGGGTCCAGCGTCACCCGCACCCTGCCTCCCCACACAGGTCTCGTACGCCATCGGGGTCTCACACCCCTTGTCCATCTCCATCTTCCACTACGGCACCTCCCAGAAGAGCGAGCGGGAGCTGTTGGAGATAGTCAAGAAGAACTTCGACCTACGGCCCGGGGTCATCGTCAGGTAACGGGCGTGGGGGGGCTGTGCTGGGGGGCGGGGGCGGGCGGGGGTCCCTCCCGGAGCAGCCTGGGGACCGCCTGGCGCCCTGGACCCGGYGCGGAGCTGCTCGGCTGGAGGAGAAGGCGCGCTCGGGGCGCAGACAGGGTAAGTATCCGCCGGAGCCGAGCGCTTGGAGCTTCCCCGGAGCCGGGAGCGTGCCGGGTGTTTTGGGGGAGTGGCTGGGGAAGCTCCAACCGCCCCGCGGGGTGGGGAGGAGGCGGAGGCGCCGCTGCGGAACCCCGGGCCAGGCAGGGAAGGGGCGAAGGCTGGACCCTAGGGCTGCCTCACTGAGTCGGGAATTGTGTATTCCAGGGATCTGGATCTGAAGAAGCCCCTTTATCAGAGGACTGCAGCCTATGGCCACTTTGGTAGGGACAGTTTCCCTTGGGAAGTGCCCAAAAAACTAAAATACTGAGGAAAAAAAGCATTGTTAGGGCTTTTCCCCCCACTCCTGCGGGCGTAGGTTACAGAGAAGCCCGTGGGCTCTGGGGGAAAGAGCTCCCGGCCCCACCCCCAGGCTCCCTAGCCCACCCTGTTTTCTCTCACCATCGTTTTGGTTGTGTGGGGACCACGTGCCTCTCCTGGAGCCCCTCCCTGTGTCCCCCCAAATCCCTCCGGATGGTTTTTAACAAATCTGTCTTTACTCCGAACTCGGAGATGGGGAAAAAGGCCCAAGTGCCCTCCCTAGCCCTCCCCCATGCCTCCACAGTCCCACTGTGGCAAGAGCCACCCCATTCTGGGTCCCAGCAGTCCTGCTGTGGGGGGAATACCCCATTTTGTCACCCCCCCATTCCCCCTTGACTCCAAATTCCACTACATCAGGGGGTTCCCCCATTTTGGCTCCCCCTGTTCCCTCCCCCCCAGTTCCACTGGAGGAACACTCATTTTGGCTCCCCCAGTGCCACTGGTGAGGGGGGACACCTCCCATTCCACTTCCCCTACCCCCTGGGACCTCGCTGGTGCTGGGTTTGGTTCTTAACCCTCATTTTTAACCTCTTTTTGTTCCAAAAATGCACATTTTGGGGGCGGGGGACATGCTAAAACCGACCCCCAACCCCCCCATGAGGGTTCGGTACCAGAGGAAAACATTTTACATTCTTTTTCTTGGGTTTTAATCCAAAAGCTGAAGCGACTCCCCCACTGCACAACTCCTCCACCCCCCAACTTGGTCCAGATTTTGGGGGGAAAGGGGGGGCATTTGGCGCTTGATACTTGAAGGTTTGGTCTATTTATTGTGCGCCGAGGCGGGGGCGTGAGTACAGAGAAGTCCCCGCACTCAGCCGGCAGCTCCTGATCCCTGAAAGCCCCCCCTTCCCCTCC